AGAAGTAGTAAGTAATAAAGGTAGGAATAGGAATAAGTAGGATATAAGATCAAGAATAAAGAACTAAATATAGTTACTATTAATAATACTTATAGTAATTAGATAATTTTCGGAGATAATAGAATAGACTTCGAAAAGCAGAAGACTTATTTGCCTAATCCGGGATCTAATTTATCCGAAATACTCTCTAGCTCACTTACCAAAAATAGGCCAGATACCAGATTTAGTTTTAGTAAGGCCGCTTTAGGTACCGGTTCCTTTTCGATTATTAGGAAATTATTAACTCAAGCTAATGCTTATTAATAATTTATTAAAAATATAACTATCTCTAATAATAGAAGTATTAGTAGTAAATTCAAAACTTAGTACCGAGATTTATTAGTATTAAAATCGCAAAAGGAGAGATAGCTTATAAGTTCTATAAAGTCGGATAGCTTTATTAGGGACTTTGGGGATATTAACTTCTTAAAACTCGGAGCAAGTAGCGAGAAAGAGAATAATAAAGAGGAAGGTAATAATAATAATAATAATAGTAAAGATAATAATAAAATGCCAAAATTGCCAGAAATAGAAGACCCTCTAAAAAGATATAAAAACTTCTCTTCTATTAGCCAAGGTATATATATTTAATAATATTAATCAGATATAACTAACCAAATCAGAGTTCAATTTATCTATATTTAAAGCTATAAATAATAATAGTTCGGCCTTATCTCCTGACTTATTATAGTATCTAAAGTTATAAATAGTTCCTATTCCAAAATCAGGAAAAAACGGCCCCCGGAAAGGATCAGAAATTACTAGTTATCCTATTCTCAATCTGCCTCTATCTATAGATACTTAGTATATATTAGGTATTCCGAATTCAGTAGCTATTAGTAACCTATAGAGCCTATAGTAATATATACTTAATCTATAGTTTAAAGTAAAGTCTTTTGAAAAATTTAAATAATTACTAAAGCTATTAATATTTCAAATAATATATTAAATTATTTAAGGGAATATACTCTAGTTTTACTTTAATACTCCTTAATAAATATTAGAAAAGAAAAATATAAAGGCTTTAAAAAGCAGTCTCTCTCTTATAAGTATCTTATTATATTTAGAAAAATATCCCGAAATTGCCTTTATTATCTATTAAGACTATAACCAAAAGGCTATAAATTATTATAATTTTAACTGAAAAGACAGTAATATACTACCTAAAGTAAAATATACTAGAGAATCTATTTATATAGCTACTAAAGACCTTACTTCTACTATTACAAACTTTTCAAATCTAAATCTATACTTCTTAACCCTTTCTAATAATATAGAGAACAAGTTTCTTATAGCTCTATACCTGCTACTTTACTATATATAGGATATTATAGGAAAGTATCTAGATAAATTACCTAATAAGTAGAAAAAGCAGTTTTGGTTATTACTAAACTATATTCTTACCGAATTTAAAAAGGAGTATACGGCTATTAATACCCTTTTTAATAGAGACAAAATTACCTATCCTTATATTAAGTATTTCTTTAAATTAGAAGATATTTTTATAAAGAGAAAGTATAAAGATATAAAAGGGGTTTAATATAAATCTTGGATTAAAAAGCCTATAAGAATTAGCTCGGGAATAATATATTACGGAATTTATACTTGGTTATAGTAGTTTAATAGATATTTCTTATATTAGAACTAATAAACCATATTTGAGATTAATACTAATAATATATTAGAAAAGAATATTAATAAGCTAAATCTTTGGCCGCTTATATTTATAAATAAAAATTTAAATAACTTATTAAAAAGCAGGAATAAGACTTTCTAGAAGTATTATATTAAATGCTTTATCTCTTACTATAAAGACAAGGGCCAGAGCTCTTACTATTCTAGTAATAAACGGTATATAATTAATCTTAGAACTTATTAAGATCTTTATAATTCTAATAGAACCAAGAAACTATTCTGGGCCTCCTACTATAAATATTTAGGGGCTAAAGTAATAAAGTATAAAAGCCCTTCTAATTCCGAATTTGTTTACTTAGTCCCGCTAATAATTAAGGACTATAGCCTTAAGAGGAAGAAGTAGTTAGACTTGCAAATTAATGGAATTACTAAGGTTATATAGAATAAAGAAGTATTCAGGAATCTAGTACTAAATAGAAAAACTAAAAACCTAATTAAAGTACTAATAAGTAATTAACTTAAGGCAGAGAGATCTACTAATTTAATAAATAGGAAGGGAAATGGCCTAATACTTCTTCTCTATAGTAGACCTGGAATAGGAAAAACTCTAATAGCAGAAAGTATTATAGAGATTACAGAGAAACTATTATATCCTATTACCTATAGTAATATTAGTACTAAGCCGGAATAGGTTAAGGGTTATCTCGAGTTAGTTCTTAACCTTAGTAAATCTTGGGAATATATAGTATTACTTAATAAAGCAGATATATTCTTAGAATAGTATAGCCTAGAGGATCTCTAGTATAATATACTAGTCTCGGTTTTTCTAAGGATTTTAGAATATTATAATAGTATACTTATTCTTATAAATAATCGAGTCGGTACCTTTAATAAGGCCTTTAAATCTTATATCCAGTTAGTATTATACTATACTAACCTTAGTACTTTCTAATAAGGGAAGATTTGGTATAACTTTATAGAATATTTGGAGAAACTAGGAGAAAGGAAGATTAATTTTAATAATCTGAGAGACTATATAAAATAGCTTGCTTAAGAAAAAATAAATAGGAGGCAGATACGAAATGCTATTATAACTATAAGGCAGTATATAAAGTGGAAAGGGAAACCAATAATATATCTTCTTTTAAAAGGTATAATTGAGATATCTGGAAGGTTTAATATATATATTAAGAAGTTGAATAGCGGGTATTTATAGGACCAGCTAGCTAAAGACGAAGGATTAAGGTTATTAGAAGCCTATTAGAGACTAGTAAAATCAGTTATTATTTTAGTATCTATATATTTGTCTTAAATATCAATTATAGAGGTGCCAACTTTTTGAACTCCTAATAAATGCTCGTTTATATATCCAGAGTAAAAAGTAGAGATGTCCTCGCTAGACAGATAAGTGGGCCCAGAAATGGCTTGAAGATTAGATAGGAAAGAAGATAATAGAGATAATGAGGTAGAAAGGGTATAAAAAGATATAAAGGTAATATGAGAGAGCTATTTTTAGTATATATAGCCGGTAGGTGAGATATATAAGGGAAGGAAAGCAACCTCCTAAATTAATGTCCCTGTATATTAGTATAATTATAAATTAATATTAGTAATATATTTGGGATCCCTATACGATAAAGAAGGGCCTTTTTAGGCCCTTGTCAAAAGTTGACGATTTATAGTGAGATGGGTCTTAACTCTGCTATATCGTATAAATAGAGTAAGCAAAGCTAAGCAGACATAAGCTAACGAGCCTATACCCCATAAGTCTGTAGATTATAGGACATTTTGCTAACAAATAACCACTAAGAAATAATCGAACTTTTTGTGCAATGCGATAAATATTTAAATTAAATAGTAATAGTATTATTTAGCTTCTTTCCTACTAAATCCATTTAGTTTGAAGGAAAAGGAATGTATCGTTATTTAATTAATTTCACGTAAAGTGACTAACTTTGTTTTCGCGAGGCCTAGAAAGCCTCGCTTAAATGCCTGTAATCCACAGACTTATGGGGTGTAGGCTCGTAAAGTGAGCCGAGCCTGAACCCAACCCGAGCAGAGCCTGAGCAAAGGCGGCGCTGGTCACGTGGGACAGAAAGTTGTAAACAAAAAACATTACTGTCAGGAAACAGAATACATTGACGTGAACTTGTACTCAATCAGGGGACAATGGCATACAACAGTCTCGAATCAATCCCACGACACTTGATGTAGGTTCCAACAATAGTGCCAAAAATCCAAGTCTTCTACTGTGGCTTCCAGCTCTGACAGGCTTTGAAATTTCTTCGTCCGATGCAATGAAATGTTTCACGACAGCAAATAAATCAATGACAAGTAGACGATCCCTAGTTTCAACGGATTTAGAGACTTCTTGATCTTCAAAAATCAACATTTTTGATCGAGCAAAAGCTGGTGAAGAATCACAATTCCTCTCTCTGATTCCGAATATTTCAGGTTGAGGGAATCCTTTTGCGTCCTAGATTGCTTGTTTGTTTACCTTTATCACACCTAAGGGGTCCTGTTTGCAGATTATATGAGAAGGAAGGCGGCAGCGGCTGTATGAAAAGAATCTTCAAAGTCATACATGACATTTATGTGGAGCAACCATATCTTAAACAATAGAAGCAACTCTCAAATTAGCTCAGAAGCTCTACGCAGTATCCTAAACTGCAACTAGCCGGTGAGTCACGGAAATAAAAGAGGATAGAGCTGTGACATGGGTCCTGCGATATGGGTCCCCCGACACAACCCGACTAGATATCACCCTAACCTCGCAGTTCCCCATCAAGCATTGTGGCATCACAACATAGCCGTCTTGAACTAGACCACTCTTAGACTTTCTTTATTGATCCTTCTTTCCACAAAGCAGGTTCTTTTGTTCTCCACCTTGGAGATCTCTTTTTAAAGAACTTTCTTGCCATAGGCTGCTTCCACCTCTTGCTTTCATCGAACGATACTTCTTGACAGCAAATAGACTGTCAGCAATAGAAGTTCCCGAGTTTAGGATCCTGTTGAGATTGCTCACTGGTATTTCTGGACTAGTCTTGAAGCCCTGAATTGAAGGGATCCCTTTCAAGAACTCCATGTACGTTCCAGGCGACCAAGCTGCTATAATATTCTTACTTACTCTTCGGAGGGCATCGAGTCTCCTCGAAGCGCGAAGAAGTGTTACTGCTGTGAATGCTGTTCCATTGCCGGGCTGTTTTAATAGAGAAAGAGCAAACAAGTTGAGGCGGTCCAGTGAGTCTTTGAAAGATGTAAATAGAATTCATCTGACAGTCTTCTAACATAAAAATATACAACAGTGGCCAGGATCTGCGGCCGAATCAGGCTCTCCAAATAGCGTCCGACATCTTCGCCACCTGTGCCATCTCCTTCACATCATGTACTCGCACAATATCAGCACCACCCTGCACGGCAGCCGCAACCGTAGCGGCAGTGCCCCAAATCCTCCCAGAAGCTTCCTTAACGCCCGTAATCTTCCCAACAAAGTTCTTCCTGCTCGAGCCCACCAACCATGGTAAGCCTCTCAACCCTGGCCAGTCACGCAATTCATCGAATCTCCTCAATATCTCCAGATTTTGCTCACTTGTTTTCGCGAAGCCGATTCCCGGGTCGAGTATTATGCGCCATCGATAGATTCCCGCTGCTTCTGCTGCTGCGACGCGCTCGAGAAGTTCTTTGGCTATTGTGGAGATCAGGCCGTCGGGGTAGGCTGTGCGGGAATTCATTGTTTCCGGGGTTCCGCGCATGTGCATCAGAATTACAGTCTTGCCAAGACGCGCCATTGTTGGAAGCATGTTCGGATCCATTTGGCCAGCGGATATATCGTTGATTATGTCTATTCCCACTTCATCTAGCGCCTCAGCAACAGATGAGCGATACGTGTCAATGCTGACAGCTATTTTCTTTCGCAATCGGGGATGATCTTTTAGGTTCTGGATGAAGCCGATTGTTCTCGAGATCTCTTCTGCTTCGGTCACTTGGTGGACACCGGGGGCGGTGGACTGGCCACCAATGTCGATGATGGCGGCACCATCATTGCTCTTCTGGAAGGTCTTGGAATACAAGGAGTTCATACCTTGCTTTCCTTTCTCGCTGTCTCTAGGGAGATTTAAGCCTCCGTCCGAGAAAGAGTCCGGTGTTAAATTCATGATAGCCATCACATGGGTTCGTCGGGTTGACTGCAGCGCACGGATGGCCTGCAACGAAGGATTCAATGGAGTCAGGGTAGATATTGGAGATGTCGACGGCGGTAGAGCGTTGAGGTAATCCTGCGTTAGCTTCCATGGGGATGCTGGATTCAGCGCCTTTCCCGGAATTAGCCTGTAAGGTGTTAATGTATAGAGAGCAACCGGAGATAGCCGGCCTACTCTGCAAGAGGCCGCAGTACAAATTCTCTCTCAAACATGCCTGGATGGGGGATTTTAAGCCTCTCATGGGCGACGACTCGATCACCATGGAGCAAAATATCAAGATCGATATTGCGCGGCCCTTTGTCGATGACCTTTTTCCGACCGAGGTGATTCTCGATACTCTGGAGCGTGTCCAAAAGAGGAAGAGGCTCAAGTGTGGTTTCCACCTGGTAATTATCAGCTGATGTCAAGTGATTGGGCCTTGGAAATACGGGCAAATCCCGACTTGATCATGCTGCCGGATTATGGGACTTACCTCACAGACTCCATTTATAAAGCTTCCTTGGTCCACAACATACATCGGTTCCGTCTCCCAAAGGCAGCTGGTCCTCTTGATCTTGATCCCTCGTCGTGACATCTGTTCGCAGGCTTTCTCAATCCAGCCTATCCGGTCACCCAGATTGCTTCCGAGAGCAATATAAGCTATGTGGACTGTTGGAAGCTTCTTGGAAGCTTCTGGCAATGTGTTGTCCCCAGAAGGAGGGATCTGGAAGTCATTGAGAGAATGCGGTGTCCATTGCACTGTTTTTGGGGGCTTTTCAGATGAGCTTTGTTGCCGTGCCGCAGTTCGGACGAAGGGCATGGCTGCGACATCAAATTTCCTCGAGAAGGATACATTTCTGAAGGCCACGGTCCTTCCCCCCAGAGGTCTTCCCAGTTGAAACCCCCTCATCGACGTCGTGATGTTGTACAGGCTATCATTGTTGGACGAGGTGGCAGTGAAGTTCCTGCAGGGGTTTAGGCGAGCTGATCACGTGAAGTTTCACAAATGACTCGTGTTAAACAAAAGTTAAAATCCATTTTCATCTGAAGTGTGACAGAAAACCAAACCTCACACTGGAGAAATGGAGAATACTGCACGAAATATATATAACACCACCTCAGATGTTTCCCCTTTTCAAACATGCACAAACGTGCAAACCCTGCAGCCGTAAACACGGCTTTTTCTGTCAGCTGATCCCAGGCCCGGTCTTTTCGGTCAAGCCGAGGCATTTCCCCAGATCCCCAGTTGCCGGCTAGTGGGATTTCAAGGGCGCCGAGCATCTCCACCTTTCTTTTCTCCTTCATAAATTCCCTCTCGCTCCTCGACACACTCCTTCTCCCTCTACGCTTTTGAATATCTGTTCTCTTCTTTCATTGAAATCCTCGTTCTGCTGACCATCCATTCCAACGAACAATCCACCTCCCAAACACCACAGACGTAAAGATGGCTTCACCTCGTAAGTATCATATGCCAGTCTAAGCAGTACCCGCAAACTGACAGCAATGTGCAGAGGTGATTCGCACAACGGTCACTGACCTCTGCAAGATCAATCACCCGGTCATACTCGCTGGAATGAACGTCGCAGCAGGCCCAAAGCTTGCAGCAGCAGTCACGAACGCAGGAGGTCTCGGCGTCCTTGGAGGAATAGGATACACACCCGACATGCTGCGCGAGCAGATCGCAGAACTGAAGTCCTTTTTAGCAGACAAAAACGCACCCTTCGGCGTTGATCTTCTCCTCCCTCAAGTCGGCGGCAGCGCCCGCAAGACAAAGTAAGAATCACATGCCGAAGCTCCACCTTTTGTCTGATTACTATTCAACTCGATTGCTGACGATCAATCTGCCTACAGCTACGATTACACGAAAGGCAAGCTCGACGAGCTGATCAGCATCATCATCGATTCCGGCGCGAAGCTGTTCGTCTCCGCCGTCGGTGTGCCGCCGCAACACGTGGTTGACCGACTACATAAGGCGGGCGTGCTATACATGAACATGATCGGACATCCCAAGCACGTCAAGAAGTGCCTCGACCTCGGCGTGGACATTATCTGTGCTCAAGGTGGTGAGGGTGGTGGACATACCGGCGATGTTCCAACAACTGTGTTGATCCCAGCTGTTGTGCAGCTTTGCAAAGGGAAGACCAGCCCCATGACTGGCAAGCCGGTGCAGGTCGTTGCCGCGGGTGGTATTTACAACGGCCAGACCGTTGCTGCGGCTCTGATGTTGGGCGCCAGCGCCGTCTGGGTTGGAACCCGTTTTATCTTGACTGATGAGGCTGGTGCATCAAAGGCACACCAAGAGGCTGTCCGAACTGCTGGTCACGATGATAATATCCGTACAATCATCTTCACCGGAAGACCGTTGCGAGTACGGAATAATCCTTACATTACAAATTGGGAGGAGAACCGCGCTCCGGAGATCAAGGAGCTTACTGGCAAGGGTATCATTCCTGTTGAGCATGACTTTGAGACGTTGGGTGATGATATTGATGATGAGGTATGCCTCTTTTCATATTTCTGATATTCTCTTGCTAACTATCTTTGTAGACAATGGATAACGCACGACCTTTCCTCATGGGTAAGGCGGCCGCAGTTGTGAACGAAAAGAAGAGCGCGAAGGCGGTGGTCGACGAATTAGTTAATGACGCTGCTGCTTGGATCCACAAGGGAGAGTCGATGATAGTGACCAAGGCGAAGCTGTAGATAAACGAATTCGATCGGGACAGGTATACGGGTGGGAGGATGACCATAAATTGACGAGATTTTGAATAGTGTATGAATTAGATTTTGCATGCCCTCCTCATGTCCCTCCCTGCTTGACGTGTTTCTTGTACTGCGTATGTGAGTTTTGTCCGGATTATGGGAGGCTTGTCGAGTGACTAAAGATGTTTAGGTACTTTTCTCTCTCAGACTTAGGGTCTCGCATGTGCTTTTACATTCGAATTCTATTCCTGCAACATATCCCGCAATGAAGATCAAGTCAATGTTCCAAATGTCATGTAAGTTGTGAAATATTTGATTTTCCCAATTCAGTAATACTCACACTGGCTATTGTATGAATTCAAGTGCAATCGTTCGTACTGCTTTGGCTAAAGAACTGTCTTAGGTGGTTTTGATCGCCGAGGAGTTTCTCACAGGGGATGGGGCCGAATTGAAAATAGCTTAAGCAACTAGTCCTGAGACAGAATAGCAGATACCAGTTCTGCAGGATGTTGTTTCAATTCTCATTTGAATCTTTTGAATAGGTTCTTGATGCATGCCAAATCTCGGGGTAAATGTAACTGGCGTGCTTGCCGGACAGGAGTAGTGGCACTGCTCCGTCTTCCTCAGAACTCCAGCCTCGTAGCAGCAGAAGTCCATGTAACATCCATCTTTTGATATGAGAATTTCGACAGGACTCATATCGTGGATCTCGCCTCTTAAGAGTTCGGGAGAAACTGAGCACAAGCAATATGTGAGCAAGTTTGGTGACAATCGTCAATCTGCTACGCCAGCCGGTCTGCGCAATGTCCTCGATGAACCTAAACAGACCGTATGCCTGTTAGTACTCACGAAAAGTAGCAAACGAAAGCTATAGGCTTTATTTTGGTATAGCTGGAAATTGATCAACGGCCAGGCACGACTCTGGCTTTGTAGGCGAGAATGGACTTGGGGATTGCAAGTTTTGAGCCAAGATCGGATGATAGAGGTTGTCAAAATCAACAAACCTCCGCCCCATTTCCCGACTACGTGAAGACTCCTTCTTCTCAAGTATTATACTGCTGTAAGGTCACGCAGTGGTGGATTTCGATTTTCCAGGCTCTGAATATCCTCTACGGATAGCGAATCCATTGGGCGCGTTCGGTAAGGACTGATCTGGAGCGCTGGATTACTGGAGGTAGCTTTGGAAATACCGTGAAACCGGTGAGCGTCGTAGCTTTTGATGCGCTTGATGCCTGTCATGTATCAGCAAATGCATATCTTGCTCAGAGGCTAATTTGGAGGACATAAATCCAGACTCCAGATTGCACTAACACAGTCAGTCACTTCCATTCTACGCGTCTGTCTCTTTGATGTCTTTGACTTTGAAGTGCGATCAAAGGTACGGAAGAATTCCTCCTTGCCCTGGGGGCCTGATTAAAGGTAGAGATTCACTCGAAGTCTCGAGGATGATTCAATGTACCAGAACTTTGGGAACATTGGGGCGATGTGCAACGAAACTTGACTTTGCACATTCAACTTCTATTCAAAACAATCTCAATGCACCAGGAAAGTTGGAACATCGCGGCAGCGGACCACAAAACTCCCAAAATGATATGCACTCAAGGGCGAGGTGATATGAGAGCACCTGACGATTGAATCGACCACTTTGTATTACCGGTAAATCAGCAATGTCATTGTACCAAGAAACGTCGTAGATTGGCTCGATGTGCAACAAATATACAAAAAAGGCGAAGAGAAATTCACTGGCAGAGCGGGGAGCTTCATTTTCCAGAGAAAAGGAAATATCAATGTACCAGATTGCTTAGAACATCCGAGAGACTTGCAACAACACCCCGAGAAGGAAATTCACTTCCCACTTGAGAAGATTTCTCAATTTACCGGGAAATATTGGGACATTGAGGCGATATGCCGCAAAGTAGCCTGGAAGATGGTTTACTTCGAAAGTAGATGAAATCTATGCAGTGAAGACGTTGTGATTCATGATTCTTTACTTCATAAGCTCCGTCATTGCTCCCAGACACTCCTCCGCTCCACCACGTCATCAGCAACCTCATCTTCAAAAACAATCGGGCTTCTCCATCCCTCATTCTCACCTCCCTTCTCCTTCAACGTATCCAACGTCTTTCTCTTTCTCTCCTGCACTCCCTCACCTTGCCATAACTCACCATACCGTGCCAAATCATCTTTAAGAACCTCAACCCATGTGCTTCTCTTTCTTTCCCCTTTTGGCCTCCTGATCCACCAACCTAAACATTGCTCCGTCGCCAGCGCTTCCTTATACCCCTGCACAAAAGCCACCACTTCACCGTACTCACTCTCCTCACTTAACTCCACACCAGAAAACAATTTCAAAATGTGTAGCTTAACCCACTGCCCGCCCCAATCAAGCCCTCCCCCTTCCCCCACGTCACCAGTCCACCTCAGTGCTCTGAGCCACTCCGCACACCCCGTCAGATCTAGATATTCCAATCCATATAGTCTCCCAGCAAGTCTTCTGAGGACATCACTTGCCTCACGGAAATCATTGTCCAAGTTATGGCTGTAAAATCCTGTTCCGCCATATTGGATATCTTTACCGAAGCGGCTGGTAACAACAGCGGTTTTTGAATTGGGCGTTAAAGAGGGGACGGGCCAGAACGCGAGAGAAAGGTGCGTGAGTGTCGGGATATGCCGACTGCAGGCGAGGAAGCGGGGCCATGAGATTGAGTGTGGTGGGTGCGAGAGAGAGAGGTGCGTTAGGTGCGGTATTGGTGGGCTCAAACCCCTTGTCAAAGAATCCTCCCACGACAGGTCGAACTCTGAGCGATCTTCTGGTGCTGGAGGGGGCTTCTGAATGAGTTCAATAAGCTGTTTAAAGCTCACTGATCGCCCAATCGCGCCAGAAAGATCGAGACGGAAGAACCCCTCATTCAGCGACTGCCCCTCTTCCCCTACCTCCTCCCAATTGTCACCCTCATATTCTGAAGCTGGGTGTAAAAGGAGGCTCTTCAACCCCTCAAAGCCCACCCCCTCGTCGGGACCGTAGGCAGCGATGTAGCTCAACAGCAACATCCTAATCGCCACCGGCAGATCCGCAAGGTTGTTTATCTCATACTCCTGTGTAAATTCCCAATCTCGTGCCATAGCCCGGAGACACATATCCTGCAATTTGTTTCCTTTCCCACCTTTGGCCTCTCCTAACCCAGGTAAATCATCTATGCGGGCAGGAAATACCCTTCCCTCTCCTTCCCTCGCCGTTAAGCTACTCGCCGAAGCATTCCGGGATTGCAGCCACGACCTCGGCGGCGACGGACCCGCTGGTATCCGATTTCCATTCGCGTCAAATCGTCTGCGGTCTCGTGCACGCGGTTTTGGGGCTGGTGTCTCGGGCTGCGAGAGGAGGTGGCGGATTTGTGGGGGGAGAGTCTTGCCTGTTGCTATCGATGGCACTGCGGCGGATGAAGGATTGACTTGTGATTTTCGGAGGGTGGAGATGAGGTCATTTACCGTGGGGGCGGCATCGTTGTCTATTTTTTTTTGGACAAAGTTAGTATTGTGTTGAGAGGAAAGGGGATGGGAACGAGACGTGCATGGAGGGGACGTGAGAACTGTGGCGGGGTAGACGAACTGTTTGTCGAGCTGGTGCTCGACGCTGTTGCTGGTGATTGCAGAGATGGATGGACAGTGCTTTGAGGTTTCGAGTATTGGGGTGTGAATCGTTTCTTTGGCATTGGGAGGTTGACCGGCGGCTGGTCGTGTCGATGGAGCAGAAAAGAGGGACGAGGTGGGGTGAGGTTGGAGGTGACTCCACTGATGCCTTGCCAAGAAAATCGTAATAATCTCAGGCGGCAGCTGGTGGGCTTCCTCGGCAACCTTGGCTCATCAATCATCATTTTCAGTATATCCTTCTTTCCATGGCCATGATTAGCTCTGCTTCTTTCATTCGTTCGAGTCTGGGATTTTGCATTGTTCTTTAGATAATTTATGCAATTGGCCTCTCGCAGGATCGCTCGTCAGTTGGAAATTGATCATTGCATGACCAGCTGCCTCGAATTCGAGGAAAGCTTTCGTTTGGCTTATAGTTTCTTTCCATAGGCGTAAAGCTCCCGAAATCTTCGCCGCAACCGTACTGGAGAACCTATTGGCTTCCAGGAAGGAATGATTGAAATACGTTGCGACCGCGAGCGCGACCGCGAAAATCATCCCTCTGGACAAAATGCAGGAAGCCAATCTGTAAACTCAACCGTACTGTCACGCAAGGAGCGCTAGCACGTTCACACGCAATTGTGCGATAAAATCTTCCCTATTCGTGTATTTCAGGCTGTACTCCGCTTCATTCTTACTGTTCTCAAAAACTCTGGAAATCTCTACGGTAATGAGACGCGCTCTGCTTCAGGGTGCTCGCTCAGCCCGATCTAGCAGATCAGAAAGACATTGACCAATTCAGGGCCAACACGTCTGGAAGATCTCTTGTTCCTCTCAGCCCGGCCGGCTCTGGAGGGAGGATCTGAGAGTAAAATCTTTGCACCGTCACTGATAATTTGACAAGTGCTAACCATTGGCAGTCATGATCGACACATTCTTCGAACTGCTCACTGTGAGTCTTCAACAACAACTCGCGGCGAAACACACCAAGTACATTTTATGGTATCCTTAAGCAAGAACTGGCTAAGCAGCCATTGTCATACTCTACAAGGAACAAGTCCTAAAGCAAAACCCGTTTTCATCGAGCAATGCGGGAGATTTGACTGATGCGTTTATCCTTTGATATTTGGCATCACATATTTTCTCTACTTAAAAAGCATACTCAAGTCTTCCGTTAGCCTGAAAGAGCGGTTCTTGACGCCGCCTAACAGATATTGGGTGAAAGTGATGGCTAGGAGGAAACCAGCTGAAAGGAAGCTGGTCACGTGCCTCTGGGCGAATTTTGATTTGCCCAAAGCTCCCTTACCTTGATTGTTACGCTCTATCGATAATCTTAACCAATTAGCGCTTTGCAATCATGCTGTCCGCAAGGTGCTTGCACATCAGTTGCGGTAAACCATTGGATGGGTGTCCGGGCTTAGTTTGTTCTCATAAGGCTGACTGTGCAACATGTGATATCACCACTCCACAGCCAGGGCAGGTGGGATGTCGGCCGCAACGCGGTCATTCTTGAGCCACGCTGAAACTTGGGTATTTAGGGGAGTTTCTGCTGTTACCGCCCTTCATTGATCACTCATATATTCATTTCCAATTGCTCCGCCGAAACCCGAACCTTCAAAATTGCCGCGGCTTCTTCTCACGCGTTGACCTCCGCCGAGCAAATAAGACCCGTCTTCTTATTGCTCTATATATAGCTGTGGAGAGAATTTTCATTCTTTGTTCCGTTGGAAGTAAAAGTTTTGACTTTAAAAGCATCTCCAACATGTCGCCTCCTCTCGCTCTTCCTCTCGAGCTCCGCCAACAGATATTCTCTTCTCTCGTCCTAACGCCACACACAATTGCCATATCCCTCTCAAACCTTAAAGACTGCCAAAGTGCCATCGAAAAGCTTTCCAGGACTTGCAAACAACTCCGCTATGAAATCCGAGCGTGGTCTTCCTTGAACAGCATTTCACACTTCTTCCTCGTTCCACCCTTTGGCATCATAACCTCACAGACATCATTCCAATTCCAGCTCTCCTTCACACAGCGTCACTCTCCAATACGTGTCTCTAAGACCCCTCAAAACATCGCGGAAGCAGCCGTCTTCCAGCTCTGGAGAGATATTATGCAGAAGTTGAACACTTGCAGGATGGATACCATTGACAGGGAGATCCGAGATAGGTTTGATAGAGGAGAGAAAAGGGTGCTCAGCGTGTTGGAGGAGGTGTATGATGAGTTTATGGGGGGAAGGGGAAGAGGGACTGTGGAGGATGTGATGATTTACGGGGGAAATAGGTATTGGGTTATTTCGACTAACTTTTGGGGGTTAAATGTTTGTGAGTGGGAGCGGGTGGGGATGAATGGGCGTTAGTCGTTGGAGCTGTCAAAACTATGGGTCCCTTCCCCTATCCGTCCAAGTGTGACTTACCGAACCATATGCTATGACGAACGCACAAAAGGACACTTATTTCAATTATATCTTTGAAAACCTGACCGCATAAGAATTTATCTTACAAACTTGTTTCACCGATGGCATCCAATGGATCACACCTTTTCTCCTCCCTCTCTCTCGAGAACACACATCATGAAATCTTCCAGGTTCTTCTTCGCTCCCCACATACCATCACGGTGAGTGGTGCGGAAGCTGATCTTCGAGAAATTCACAAATTCATTGAATATTACAATTGAATATTACAACAAGACAACCATTTCGCTGTTATCCCTAAATGGACACGAAGAGAAAATTCAACGGAGGATCTACCACAGCAACTCAAATGGCCGAGGTCTTTTAGACCGTCTTCCAAAACTGTGTGCCCAGCTGGGAAAAGAGATTGCAGATTGGGCAAAAACTGCGGGTCAAGATGTGTCTCATCCACTATTCTTTCGGCATTGTTCACAAGCAACATAAGCCCTGGACTTCTTGTTCTAGCACGCAGGGCGGAAGGAGAATTTTTGCATTCGGAAACATCCGAAAGATCCCGTGCAGGTTGAGCCTTTTTAGTTCGTAAAAAGATATTATGAAGAGTCTCCGAAGCAATGATGTTCGTGTGGGTGAAAAGATACGTTGCAGGCTTCGGGACCATGAGTGGCAAGGAAGAGATCTATTGAGGAAGTAAGGATTCGGAGGAAAGAGAGGGAGACATATATGTTGGATAATCGTGAATACTTATATTGCACCGAGTTCTACCCTGAGCTGTATCCGAGGCAGTTGAATGATTAAAGGAGGATTCGAAAACCGGAGATAAACGGCTTGAGCTGTGTCTCATGTAGATACCGTCTAATTCGGACGGCTCTCTTGGTTGTTCTTGGGTAACTTTGTGTCATAGATGACAGTGCTAGACTTGATTTTCTTGGAATTCAACATCATCCCCCGCTAGGGTACCAGACTCCCTCGACCCGTGCCTTCATAAACGATCTGCCACCCAACAATGCGCACTCTCAACTTCTTTGTTTCAAACATCATCTCAAGCTCTGGATTTCTTCTGCGAAGCACCACGAGAGTCTACCCAAGCCAGGTTGCCTAATGTCTTCACTCCTACACCTCCTGAAACTCCCGGTCGAGCTCCGACAACAAGTTTTCTGCACAATCATCTACTCGCGATATCCCATCGAGATCGGCAAGAAAAGCTCTGATATTCACATTGTTCCAGATAACAAAGAACGCACCTCATCAAAGAGAGGCAATTCGAAACGATTCCATATTGTTGACCTGAAACCCGAATTTGGTGGGCCATTTGAGGCTCTTTCTCTCACCTGCAAGCAGCTGAGAAATGAAATCACGGAATGGCTCCAAACGGAGCAGAAGAATTGCAGCGATATAGTCCTCACAAAGGCTTTTGGGGTCTTACACGAAAATCTCATCAGCTTCCGCCTTAGTTTCACTCCAGGGGAACCGGCTTTCGGAGGCACACTCGAACATATCGGTGGTATTGGGGGGGAGATCTCCCAGCTTGATGTGCACCATCAGGCTGAATTCTATGGACTCTGGAGAGACGTAATCGTTCAGGGAGGGACAAATGACATATATGACGCCACTAAGAGAATTAAATGGAGACTCCAGGATCATGGTTGGAGGGAGCGAGAATGCCTGAGAGCTGTGTGGGACGGGTGTCCAGATGCACGTCTCCATACGAGAGGACAGCAAATGGTGCCCAATTTGGAGTGGGAGAATTGGGATATCCTGGTGCCGGATTCATTTTTGACAACTGAGGCGATTGGTGACGAGGGAGTATTGGTGCTAGGTAAAAGGTGGTTTCAAGGCAAGGACCTAAACTAGGATATGCTACTCTTTCCTCGAGTTGTATTAGAATTCAAGAAGCTCTCAGCCCTATTTTAAATAATTCATTACCGCATTCCTAGTATATAAATACCTGGGGCAGAAAACATTGAAATCTTTCTTAAAGTCATCTAAGAAGTCTATCTTGAGTTCTTGGCTGTCACCTCCATCAGGCCCTTGGATCTCCTAGCACAATGGTTCTCCGAATTTCGTTATAGGACTAAAGTGACCTTATATTAATTATAAGCTAATCTAACTAGCCTTTATAAGAATCTTAATATTAATAATTTAATAAAGTCATTATTTAATTATATAATAAGATACTAACTTATTTATCTAGTCTAATTTCTTAATCTCGTAATTTTTAAAGAATATTATAAATATTAAATTATTTTCCTTTAAAAATTATAAGTACTTATTTTATTTCTTTATTTAAATTTAATATTTAATATAAATAATTTTTCATTTCCTTTAATATAAGCTTATTAATTATAAAAAAAAACATAGAAAAGTTATTATATTTATTTTAATTATATTATTATTAAATAAATTAATTTTATTAAAAGTATTAAATTAGTTTATTCAAGAATTATAATTCTTTTAAATTATAATTATTAAATAATAAATAGAATTTATTAATTAATTAATAATAAAGAAATTATTATATAAGAGAAATAAATTAAGTAAAATATAAAAGATAATTAATTACTATACAAAAGAGTACTACTTCTAAGATATTACTTATATTATATTATAATAATTACTATTACCGGAAATACTAGTAATATTCTTATTATAAAAAAAAACAAAATAAATATTAAAAAAGAGTAATTAATTAAATAAAAAGAATTACTATAACGAGTTCTGCTATTCTTCCGATTACTTAAAACTAGAGCCTAGCTATTACAGATATTATATAATTATACTTCTAAGATTACTAAAAACTAGAGATATAATTAGGTATTATAAATATATTTTCTTAATTACTAAAAACTAGAGATATAAGGCTATAAGTTACTAGTATTGTCACGGGTATGGTATTCAGGGCTTGGAAAGCAAGATAGAAGGTCCCTTACAAAGACGATTCAAAGCTAAGGAAGGGAAGACTAGAATACAGGAGGCTGCGAGAGTAAAGTACACCCGCAATGCGCTAGCCCCTAAGGGGCCTAGCGTCCTAAATATCTCCATGCGCATTCCCATACTAGCTGTCAGGTGACTATGTCAGGTGACTACAACGTGGAAACCAAAACTGTGACAAGTATATTCCAGTTATTAAAAACTAAAAGAAGTATTATATAACATATATATAAATATAAAGATATTATAATAGTTTTCTAAAAAAAAAAAGATTTAAAATAACTTAATTAGAATATATATATACTTATTTCTCTTTTCTAGAATTCTTTATAAATAAGCCTTCTTATATTACTATAAAGCCTGGGAAAATATTATATATATTTTTTTTAGTTTTATTCTTGAATTTATTCTTTATTATCTTAATATATTCTAGTAATACTTTAAAATATTTATATTTCGGAATAATAACTTTAGTATTCTTAATAGTTTCTTATTTTATATTCTTAATAAATTCTATATATCTAATGAATTTTATATTAAAGAAGCTAGTAATAATATTATATTAGACTTATTAATTAAATAGTTATTTCTTAGTAAAAATATCTTTATTATTATTATAGTTATTATTATTTTCTTTAGGAATTAATAGAGAATAATATAATATAGTTTATTAATACTTTACTAGAATTAATAAAAAAATAATATAATATAATTTATTAGTTTTCTATAATTATATCTTACTATTTTATTAAAATTTTATTATTTCATTTAAATACAAGCTTATATAAAGCCTAATTATATACTTTAATAATAGTTTTATTATTAATACTAAGCTAAATAAATATAAATTTATATAAAAAAGAAAATTGGTTTCTTTTTATAAAAATAAAAATAAAAATATTATTATATTTTTTATTTTTTATTATACTAATAAAATTATTTTTATTATTAGCTAATATATTATAAATAAATAATATATTTCGGCTAATTCGAAATACTTCTTTTATATAACTAGTAAATTATATATTTGCTTCGAGAATTTATTAGATAATTTGCTTTATTTTTTTAGAGTAATTTATTATTAATTTTATTTTTAGGTTTTAAGAGTCGGCCTAGTTTCTATTTCTTGAAACTCAGCTATTTAATATTAATATAATTACTTTTCTTATATTTATTTAATCTTATTATAAGAGTATTATATATAAGTATTAATATCGGGTTTATTATAATAGAAATATTTATTATAATAGAAAAGTATAAATATTTGCGAATTTAATTAAATTAGGCTTTTATATTAGTATTTAGCTTATAATACTTACTATTAGTTTACTAGTAATATATAGTACTATTATATAGGTATAGAAATACTAGTTATATTAGTTAGTAAAGTTATTCTTTAGAAGTAAGGATCGCAATATTATGGTATTAATATGTAATCCCTAAATCTGCTAAGCCTAATAGGGTCTAGTCTACTAGTCGAGTTACCTATAGGACGCGAGGTTATATAACCATGTCCCGTATTCCATGTCCTATTACTTATATCCCGTATCCCGTAACTATACACGTGATTCCCAAAGGAATAGCTATACTAATACTAGAAACTTTCTAAAAAACGCGAAAAATAGTACTCCCCTCCGATCGCATGCAAATTCCCTAATCCGGCCTAGTACCAGATTTCCCAAACGCTCTATATATCTATATTACTTCTGAGTTTTTGGTTATATACTAAAGGCCTCGGTCTTTTATACGTAACTTCCCCTCCTATAATATCTTCCTATCCCATATATCTATTTCCCGCCCTATTCGTACTCGACCTATTTCTTTACATCTAACTATATGGTATTCATATTAATTAGGCGCTTGAAGGCGTTCATTGGCTTTAATTTTATTATGGAATTAGCAGGATTTAATTCTCTCTTAATTTATTTAACTTCTGTAATCTCTCGTTATTTATATACCTGGCGAAAGTATATTATATTAATTATTAGACGCTTTTCTCGAGTGGTTCCTAATTTAATAAGGCATTTATATAATGACTTCGAATCCGTATAGACTACTAGTAGTAGTTCTATTTCTAGTACTCTATTAATTATAGATTTGACTAAAGCGCCTATATTAAAGCCATAAGCCATATTATAGAGTTCTAAAGCTAGAATACTTCTAATAACTCTCTTATATTTAGTAAAGAACTAGTAAATAATATTAGTATATCTAGTTCCGTTTACTAGAATTAGAATATATCTAATTTAGGAGAAGAGATCTCTATTATTTATAAATGAAGTATTCGTAAAAATAATTAAATATAAGAACTCTTTTACTAGCTTTACGAATCTCAGTTCTCTAGTAATATTCTTAATTTACTATTAAATATATTTATTAAATACTTTTATATTAGTTTTCGAGGGTTTAATAGCTTAAGTAGTAATTAATAGGTTATATAAAGCTTCTGGTTAATAGACTAATATAATATATGCTTTTTTAATATATTGGGTAATATATTAGTCCTTAATAGAAAGATCTTAACAAATAGTATCCTTACTACTTATAATAATAGTATTTTTTAAAGAAATAATTCGGAGGTTTTTATACTAGTATTCCTATATAAAAGTAATTCTAGTAGTATTTATATAAATAATACTTCTATTAAACTTGAGATTATAATTAATAGTAAAGCATTTATATTTCTTAGCCAAGAACTTAGTCTCTTAAAGCTTTAGTTACTTTGTTTTCGCAAAATTATTAGTTCTAATAAATAGGGTATTATTAGTTTAAAGGCTAATAATTCCGAAAAGTTACTTGCTATAGAGGAGGCAAGAGTTATAAGTTAACTATTTTATAGAAAGCTTATTAATATAGTAGAAATAGTAAGTTTTAAACTAGTAATTTCTAGCTTCCGGTATATTATATAGTAGTTTTATAACTTTTAGAACCGAATTATTATTTAGATTTAGCTCTCTAATAAGCTTATAAGATAAGTTAATATAAAAATTATAATTAAGTAAGGTTATTAATTAGATATAAGCTTACGAGATATTATATAAATATAGTTCCGTAATATTTATTATTATAGTAGTAATACTAAAGATAATTCTCTAGCTAATATATTAAATAGTAAGTAATTGCATTAATATTATATATTTCTTACTATTATTATAAGCTTGAATAACTAGTCTCGATTTTTTAAACTTTCTCTCTATATCCTTATTTTTAATTTCATTAATAAACCGGGAATTAAAGATATATATTTTCTTTAGTACCTGAGATCTAGAAATAATCTCAAATATACTCTTTTCTAGAAGGCTAGTAACTTTAACTTGGCAGGAGTTCTTATATAAGTTATTGTTTTATAGAAATACTATAAAATCCGGGTTCTTATAAGGGTATTCTCTGCTATACTTTAGTAAAATAGCAGGAATAATAAGAGGAATTATACCCGTATTACCTTTAGCCTTATTATAAAGTTCGGGAATAGTTTTAGGTTCGGGGCTATTAGTAATAATCTTAATATTTCCTATATAAAAGAGCTTTATAGAGGTTAAATAGAAGGTAGTATTACTATATAATAAAGCTAGTATATAGTTCTTTCCGTTAATGGCTACTAGCTTATATAGCTTATCCTAATTACTAGATTAACTAGTATTTTCTTTATATTATATAAGAATATCCGAATTTAAGAGAAGTTCGTAAATATTAGTAGTACTAGAACTATTTCGGGTATTTAGGGCATTTATAATCTGGTATCTAGCTTAAAGCTTCTGAATTTCTATTATTACTTTCTTAAGTATTACTAATTACTATAATATAATTAGTAATAGGGTATTATATTTAGTTATTTAAGGTAAAGTACTATAAACTAAAAGAGTTAAGATAATACTATCGGGTCTAGCGGAATTATTAATAGCTTTAAAAGCTATTTAAAGTGC